GATTAGTGACTCACTGGAATGGGTTGTCTGGGGACGTTGTGGCATATCCATTCCTGGAGGTCCTTTATGAACTGGTTTGGCAGAGATGGGGAAAGACATAAGTATAGGATGGACTTGGTGGACTGGGCGAGGTCTCTCAGGCTGTTCTCCTGCGACTCTAGGTAGGTTTCTTCTAACAACGCTTAATGTCATAACCCAAAATCCAACAGCCTCCAAAGAACCTTGGTGGGGAGAGCTATCACAAACCTTAGTGATGGAGTAGATGGACTGGTTCCTCCTCAGGGCAACAAGGACATCCGGGCAGATGGAGCAATCCATCATTTGCTTACATATTGGCAGAGATTTCCCCCTCAACACCTGAGTCATTGTGCACCTCTCTTCTGAAGGCACCCGTCCTCTGTTTGCTCAGCTCGGGCCAAAGGAGCAAGGCTATGAAATGCATATTTAAAGTCACTGTCAGCACTTGCCAGCCCAGGGACTCCTGCTGCTGCTCAGCCCTGGCAGGGTGCTGGCAGAGAGCTGCCAGACCTCTGGTCCCTGGTGTTTAGGGGCACGGAGAGCACAGACGGGGCTCCCTTAGCCCACTTTCCGTGGAGATCCTGCAGCCTTGGAAGAGAGGATGAACAACAAGTCACTGGCACCTGCCAGTCTGGAGGAGGTGTTTAGTGGTTTTTGTGTGTTGCAAGTGATTACTCCAGGGACAGGAGCAGAGGAGTTATGCAGAAGCATTGTTCTGCCAGGCAGTCTGTACTAGAAGGAGCATCCTCTGGAACTTAGATTACAGGACAGGGCAAGGAAAGGCTGCTCTGTGCTGATCACCTCAGCAGAAAGCAGAAGGGGAAGCCTGTAGGCTGCCCACGCTGTTTTCCAGTCTGAGTGTTAGTCCTCATAGTTTTTCCAGTCAAACAGCAATTTCGCTTCAGAAATTTGACATAAATTGCAGTGTGACACATGATTTGGCTTTTCCTTGCCATCATTTCAGATCCTTGAAGAGCACTCTAGGGTTTACAGGGTCCCTGAAAAGTATTTCTGTGGGTTTAAATTCTGGTTTAAAGGGCTGTTGCTGTTTTCGTGCTGCAGTCAGGCATGCCCCAGACCTGCCAGGCACTGTACAAACAGCTCGCTCTGCCTCCAGCTGCCTCCCATAGAGTTTTTCTGCTTTCTTGTGCCATTTCAGGTGCCCTGTGACCTGCACTCCTGCTCTCCACCAGCCAGTCCAAAACCGCCCCGCCCCCCCCCCCCCAGCCAGTCCAACCCACTCCTACAAGGCTCAGAAACAGCAGCCACGAGACCCCACGATGCTCTGCCTCCTCTCACACCTCCTGTACCGTTCCCTGTCCCAGGACGACTGTCCTTCTGCCTGTATTGAACCCTCTGCACTGACTGTCTACGAGCCCCTCAGCCCCTGGACCGTTCCTGCCCTTGTCAGCCTCCCGGGGATGGGCTCTGCCCTCTTTGATGGTGACAGACCAGCAGTTTCCTGGGATTCCGCTTTCTTCTGCAGTCCCCAGGAAACAGAGAATAATTGAAGCTGCTTTAGTGCCACTGTTCTGCTCTTCTGCTCTTCCCACGCAATGCTGTCGTCATCCACCACCCTTTGTCTGAAGCGTCCCCTGGGCACCCAACCGAAACAATTCATTAAGAGACAAAACCTTTCTCAAGTGCACTGTGGTGCCAGGAAGGATCTGGAGAAATCTAAAAAAAAAATAAAATTAAATAAACATCAAACCCAAACCAAACCCCCAGCCATCTTCTCATGCCAACAGAAAGAGGAAGAGGAACCTCAGGGCCCTGGCAAGCACCATTTGGGCTGGGCTTAGCATCCCTGCCAGCAGCGAAGAGGGGAACCCAAGGCCCAGGGAAGTCTCCTGGCTGTTTGGGTGCTCGAGGATGGGATGCCAGGCACAGCAGACCACAGCCGCCCGCGGTGCTCGATCAGCCGCTGTGCTTTGCCAGTCGTTGGGCAACGATGGCACATCCTCGGTTATGTGACCTTGCGAGTGACCTACCCCTACCTGCCCAGCGCTCAAAGACATTTTCCTCGGCATGACCCGCATTCTCCAACTTTCTGTCCCTTGAGGGATTTAATTGGATTTATGTTTCTCTTCCTTTTCTTCTTTTCCCTCAAAAGGCTCTTTGCTGGAAGATGTATTTCGAGTGTAAACGTAACAGGACCTGGAACAGAACCTCAGATAATTAGATGTAATGGGCGCTCTCATTAGTGGAGGGGAGCTGCTGGTTTCTGTCAATTAGTACGGGAGAACATGATGTGCAGTATTTGCCACATGGATGAATGCAAAGCGCTGTTTGTGTTTATTGCTCCCAGGTGCTCTGCAACTAAACCAGGACTATGTAACCAGCTCTACTGAACAGGTCTTCTGGTTTTGTTGCTCTTTGGAGGTGCTTTTTAGTGGTGCTAGAACTGAAGTCCCTGTGTATCCACCATAGCCCCAAATCTGTGGACAGATTGGGTTTTAGTACATCCTTGTAAGCTGGTCACAGGGACTAAAGAGGGAATACTTGATCCATCAGATATCTGTGCCTTCCTTACCTGTCTCACTTTTCCTGCATCCTCCCACCTTCCTTCCCACAGTGCAAGGACCAGAAACTTTTATGAACATGCTTTTTCTCTTCTTCTTTTTTATTTTTAGGTGTTTTATAGTACCAAGGGGATTCAAAGCAGCAAGGATGCTCCTGGAACTTAATAGGAAAATAAAAAAGATACTAGAAAAAGGTTGTGATTTATCAGCTATTTCCTGGCGTGGGACTCGGAGCCGTGCGTGTGTCCTGTGCAGACGCAGGTTTGCAGTGATGAGTGTGTTATGCATGTCTGGCGAGTTCAGCTCAGAGGCAGTATTTAGTCCTCGGGGATGTTTGTCATTTTGAAGTACTCTTTCATTTAGGTGCAAATCAAGATCCAAAGCCTTGCGTGTTATAAATCAGCTGCACTTGTCTATCACTTGTACCACTAGAGAATCTAATCTGGCAAAGGTCAATAAACATAAATCAGTCTCCAGTCTCCTCCTGCAAACCAGAAGTTGACCAAGTCCTCATTCAAAACAGTAAGGCATAAACGTTCGGTGCTCGCTCTAATCAGATCATCTCTAAATGCATAACCAAGCAACCCATTTTCCTCCTGATGGAGCATGACGTGAGGAGCAGACTTCTCAGAAGCACTGCAGAAGGACAGCAGAGGGGATGTCCCTTCCCCATGTGTTGCAGACCCTTCAGTGCTCCATCCTCTGTTCTCCTCCCTATGCTGAAATGGGAAAAACAGAGACATTATGCATCCCTGCGTGCCCCCGAGAGTGAGGCTGCGTGCTGGACAGGTGGGGGAAGATCGTGGGAGAACCACCCATATATTCAGGTGCTACTTTGGTAAGCAGGGAGCAGAATATTTTGTTAAAGACTCCCTTTTTTCCTAGTTCCCATCTGTGCAGCAACGCAAAGGGCATGCCCACAGGACACCGAGTACTCCTGTCCTCTGCCATGGGCTTCTCTGCCTGGGAGAGGGTGATGAAAGAGCTGGTCCCCAAACCCAGAGACCAAAATCCAGCTTTTGCAGGGTGTTTGGGCATCATGGTACACCCAAGACGCAGGACGTGACAGGCCTAGAGCTGTTGACCCAGGGATGGGTCTGATCTGTTCTCCATACACCATACGGTTGCAGTGGGCAGCCTAGACCTCTACCATTAATTTTTCCTTTTTTCCTTTTTTTTTTTTTTTTTTTAAAGCAGCTTCTTTCAAAACCCAGCTGCACACCCAAAATGAGCTGCCCAGACCAACTACAAGCAGAGGAGGATCAAAATAATGGACTCAAGGCCAGGAGTGGAGTTGCCAGGCACAAAACTCCCACTAATTAGCTGGAACAGTTAAATGACAAAACCCAGGCAGGGGCTGAGGGGGGCTGGAGTTGGGATTTCTCACTGGAGCTGCAATCTTTAGGCAGCTGGAAGTGCAAGATGCGAGGTGGAAATCTCCATCCTTTGGCTGATGCCTGTGGTTGCTGGGGTTTGGCGGGG